CCTCCACTCAAGACAGTGGGATATCAGCAATGATGATTGTTGATACAATCATGCAATGATGATCAAGACCACCATGCATATTGACCAATTGTTAAGGTTCTCGTGAAAAACGTGGATAGACTTTGAAGGGTCTCCAAGAGAAGCCATACTATTAATAGGTGAAAGTTAAGGGGGGGCTTCCACAATCAATGATAGGTTATATTTTTGTTACTCCCTCCGTCCCACTTTGATAGTCCTGTTTTTTTTTTCACACAGTTCAAGAAAAAGTATTTAACTTTGTTGGAAAAGTAAATTTAGATTGCTATTTTTCTAAAATACCCTCACATTAAATATGGTACAACTTTATGGGAACTTGAATTGATGGTAAAAAAAGAATCAACTCTCATTAAATGAGGTAGGTTTATAGTAACAATTACTTACATTGAATAAGGGTATTTTAGAAAAATTAAAATACAACTACATTCTTCAATTGAAAAGTAGACTACAATTTGTGACAGATGAAAAAGGAATACAGGACTATCAAAGTGGAATGAAGGGAATATTAATTTTATAAATGTTTCCTCTTTTATATTATCAAATATTGTGTTAATTGGTAGATTCTACTTATTTTTTGTAATTAGTGTTAGCTGTAGGGATTTGAAACAAAAAGGGACTAAAGATGTGATTTTCACTGAACTTTTATGCTATTCAGCGTGGGGTGCATTAAGATCTAATTTTGTATGTTCGGAGACTCAGAATTTGGCACGTAATCTCCAAAATTCGAATTAAAGTTACAAGAGTCAGATGTTTCACCAAATGAATAGTATTTGATTTCTACTAGGACGCTACCTACTTTGTTTATTGAGACGCTTTCTCTCTTTTTAGATAGGATGAGATTTGTTATAATTTGATTTGGCTAAGTAATAATAGTCTACTAATAGTAGGAAACAAGACCAGAAAGGCATTTTGCCTTATCTTTTCTTTTCCTCGGAACAGGAGACTACTAGGAGTAGCAGTACGTAACTTTTCTTTTCTTCTTATTCGGTAGTTCATCCTATTCTAGAGGAATGCTTTCGGCAAATAATTCAACTATTTTGTGCATGACTTTCTCCGTGACGTTGAACTAAACTTTTATTTCTAGTCAAGGAGTAATAGAGGATTTGATTCTTTGGGGAGTTTACGAGCCTACATGCGGAATTCAAAGCGCTGCTCTTTGGTGTTCGGTTGGCATTGGATAAGGGTTTCCGCAATTTGCATGTAGAATCTGATTCTCTAGAGCTGGTTCATATTATTCAAGGTAAGGCACGATGTCCTTGGAGGATGCGCAGGGAGTTACAAGAGATGTTGGAAGCTAGAAGGTTTATTAAGGAAGTTTCACATTATTTTCGTGAAGCAAATAGGCCTGCAGATAGATTGTCCAATGTTGGGGTGGAATCGAGGGTATCTATAACGTATATGTCGGTCAATGAATTGCCTCGTCTGGTAAAAGGTGATATCGCTCTTGATAGGTTGGGTCTTCCAAACTTTCGTAGATGTCAGGTTAAATAGCTGCTTCCATGCACCATTTGTATGTTTGTGTTATCCATTTTCCTTTCAATAAAAATCAAAATTAAAAAAAAAATAGAGGATTTGATTCATCTAAAATTGTGAGATCGAATTGATTATATATATTTTTTAGTTACTGGTATTCGTATGTTCTCTGATTTAATTTCTTATGATTATTATGTTATTTGAACATCAAGGGTCTGGTATTTAAATTAATCCAATGACCGTTAACCACTGTTTAAATCAGTTAGAAAAATTAAATTTGTAATTATTTAATTATTTTAAATTAGTGGTAACTGACATGATTGGATTTGTGTCAGGAGAACATATGGATTAATTTAAAATAACTCTCATAGTATGTTATTTAGTTAGAATAAGACTTCTCTAATTCTTAAGACAATTAGAAAATTGAACTCTAAGGTCGTATTTAGGGTTATTTCTTGATTAGGGCAGTGATTAACGGTCATACCTTGACCACTAATACAATAAGGAGGAGTTAATTGTCATCGCGTGTTTGGCAATTATAACTTGTTTATTAGTGAATAAATGAAATTATTATTGCATAAATAACCAATTAAGTGAAACATTTTCGAAATTATTTCGTGGCTAGAGATATTTATTATTGATTCAATTCTAATAAATTGTCATTTAATTTTATTTACTTATTTATTTTATTTGAGTTGTTTAATTATTTTCATTTTTATAAAAATTCCCCTAAGACTCTGAACTTTAGAAGAAACGAATTTTTTCTAATCCCTATGGATTCGATCCTATTCACCGATATATACAAAAATTGTATTTTTCTCGAATAGGTATTTATGATTGTACAGAGTCAATACTTGTCAATTTTTTGCGCCGTTGTCGGAGATTGGTACTTGATTAATTTGTTTCTTTTTTTGAGTTCATCTTATTTTTATTTTTCATTTTTCTCTTTTTTTTTTTTTTTGCTAGTTTGTGGCTACTAACATTCCATATTTTGGTAATAGACTGGATTTTGTTCTTAGAAGAGATAATGGGGTTCGTGTTTTTTCTAGTAATCAACATTTAGATACCTCTCATGTAAAAAAAATTGGTAATTGCAACCTGTGAAATTTGTTATGCCTCCGGTCAGTGAACTAGCATGTGCCCCGCATTTCAAGATGACCTGAGTGCCCTAATTAATACTTTTGAAGGTTTCTCAATCTTGTCTCAAACGTGGAATGACTCTTATTCAAATGTGTATGATCAAGAATGGTGGGACAACTTCAACTTTAATTATACAATTGAGTTAATAGATTTTCAACATCAATATCAATAGCAACAATCGCCATTCACATCAGGTATGTCTCTTGAAGAAATGATGAAATTATTAGTTACTAACACATATCGATTTCAACAGGAGACAGAGAAGGAAATTAGAAAGTTGGCTAATTAATTGTGTCTGATGGCATCTAAAATGACGCAATTGGCCTCTCAAATGTATGAAGAATTGCCCTCATAGTCCATTGTCAATCTTGAAGAGGATGAGAGTGCAATTACTCTAACAAGTGATGAGAAACTGCAAGAGTTTCAAGAAAAATGATCAAAAGATGCAGTTGAAAAGAAAGAAATGAAATATCAATTAGAGCAGTTAAATCTATAATTGTTTAATTGCTTTAAATTAGTGGTAATTGACATGATTGGATTTGTGTCAGGGGAACATTTGGGCTAATTTAAAATAATTCTCGTAGCATGTTATTTGGTTAGAGCAGAATTTCTCTAGTTCTTAAGGCAATTAGGAAATTGAACTCTAAGGTCGTACCTAGGGTTATTTTTTTATTAGAACGGTGGCTAACGGTCGTATTTTGACCACCAATACAGTAAGAAGGAGTTAATTGTCATCGCTTGTTAGACAATTATAACTTGTTTATCAGTGAATAAAAGAAATTATTATTGCATCGATGATCAATTAAGTAAACCATTTCTGAAATTAGTTCTTGACTAGAGATATTGTTTTTTAGAGATATTTATTATTGATTGAATTCTAATAAATTGTCATTTAGTTTTATTTACTTATTTATTTTATTTGAATTGTTTAATTATTTTCATTTTTATAAAAATCCCCCAAAGATTATGAACTCTAGAAGAAACGAATTTTTTTCCGTCCCTATAGATTCAACCATGCTCACCGTTATATACAAAAAATTATATTTTTCTCAAGTAGGTATTTATTATTGCACAAGGTCGACACCCATCAATCAACAATTTCAATTGTATGCTACAAAAACATACAACAATACAACATATATAAATATTAATATAATAGATGTAGACATTAAATTTGATACTCTTTAAAAATTGTGTCAAAAACAATCCCATTCACACAATTTCAAATCAAATTCATTTCTACCATTCACTGCATCCTACAATCCATATTGACAGGAACTGTTCATGTGGTTTAGAAAATTCCTGAATTCACCATGTGGAGAGTAAACCCTTCACGTTTCTGTCTTAGCAGCTTCTTTCAAGGAACAGCTATGATTCTTTGAGCCCAGTGGATTTAACCAACAATGATACAGCACATAGCTGAAGCCGAAACTATCGAACCCAAGTGCCTCAGGCTATTATAAAGCCTTACTATTGTACAAGCTTCCATTTTAAAACCAATTGTCAATAAGTGATACAGTCGAAGAACTTATATACTGGCTGGAAATTTTCAAATATCAACATGGGACATTTTTAGCGTCTAACAATCACTCTCACACATGACTTGATAAATGGGTCTAACCCAATAGAGAAAGAATCAAGTTATGGGTGAAACAATAAATGAAATAACAAACAGACATTAAAGTCCAAAACTTGAACTGCCATTTCAAAAACAACCAATTAGCAGTGAGTAGTGTAATGCAAGATCTCATGTGTAGACATAGATACATACATACATATACATATACATATATGTATATATATATATATATATTATATATATATATATAGACACGCACATGGTCTAGATTTTCCCAATAAAATAAAATTTCAAATTATAAGAATGAAATAATGATATGTATTTCTAACTCGATTAACTTGTATGGATCTACATAAACAATAGTTAAATAAAATATTTTTGCTGTAAGAGTTAAAATAGATGTAATTCAAGAACTGTTCTAGAGACGATTATTCATGCCCTCTCTCATGATCCTCCATGTTGAGTGTTCTTTTCATATAATGACTTAAAGTTCTTCACAAAACTTCAAAATTAATATATTGGACGCTCGTTAGTTTTGGATACTCATTGGTGCACTTAAATTATGGGAAAATTGTACAAATCGTCCCTCACATATTAACGATGTGAAAATTTAGTCCCTAAGAACGAAAATGAGCATTTTTAGTCCATTACAAACAAAAAATGATCAATTTTGATTCTTGTTAGCTTTTCCGTGTGAATTCTTGACGGACCCAATCATATGAATATCACATGACCAACTTTTGAGGGACAAAAAGGGCAAGTCACTCGGATCTTGACCAAATTGTAGAGGACCAATATATATATTGCATTTTGGAATCCTGGACTGCATTACAGAAGGTGAATGGGGAAGAAGAAAGAGTTCAAGTAAAGATAAACCTTAATTTCAGAGACTAACAAAAGCCACAAAGAATTCTATTCACTAGTCAATGCATGGATCATCATCTTTAACTTCTTCTATTCCTATTTCAACTTTAGATTTCATGGGCGACTAATATATAAGAATGGCCTTGATCATCAACTCTGCTGCCTTCAATAGCCCTCATATATAATTGGTGAATATGGCCCTCTGGCATTGGCATCCATTTTCTCATCGGTTGAATCCGTTGCCGCGTTATTTTGTGGAGGGTTGGTTTGAATCGGGGGCCTGCTTGGTCCTCCTTGCGATGTAGAAGCACATCTTCTGAAAAAACGTAAGACCGTAGAGCAAATAAATTTGAAAATCAGTAAATATATAAGCTGTAGCTGTAATTCAAGAATGCAAAATAATCCATCGTTGGATTCACATGTGGTGATTTTATCCTCTCGATCATCTTCAAAATGGAGAGTTTCTTGTATACATTCTGTGAAAAACTTCTTTTTGGAGTCTTTGTATGTAAAACTTATACTTCTCATACTTGCTTCCACAAAATTTAACATCCTTGTTAAGGCGGATCGCGGCCATAATTTAAAGCTATATATATATATCCAGGCAAATCTCAAGCATTCAGCATATTATTGATGCAGCCAAAACTTCTGTGTGCGAAACAAATTTTAGATGTTGGACAAAAACAATTTAATGCAGGATTGCAAACTTATAGCATGGAGAAAATACCATAAACAATTAAAGTGTTGCGGACAACGAGTAAAATTCAGAAAGATCAAACTTACATAACAATACTTGGAATCCGATGAGGAGCGGAGCTGAGAACTTTTAGCAAGTTCTTTGGCACGAAGCTACCAATGGAAGCCATTTGTAATGGTCGGATACAAAACTTTTCCTGTAAAATTCTTCTTCCAAAAAAACCTAAAAGAAGCTCCTAGCGTTGTAAAATTCTTCTTCCTGTAAAACTTTTCCTGTTGTAACAAGAGAGCAAGATTGGTTGTCTTTGACAAAAGTATTGCTATAAGTCTATAAAATTTTCCGATTATGTTTGAGGGAAATGAATGCAATCAGCATGGCTATTTATAGGCAGCTCCTAGCGTCTACTTTCGATTATGCGCATGAGAAGAAGCATCATGGAATCAGCCCACTTTCCTTTTTTTTTTTTTTGTTATTGTGTTTTATGTTTTTGGAGTAATCTGGCGTGTTATTGATTCCCATCTTTTGTGGTACCAAAAGAAATGGACCACTCCTCAGTGGACAAAAACGAGTATTCCTCCAAAGTTTACTTGCAAAGCAGCCCACGATTAAAGCTAAAAGCATTCCCCTAGAGTTTCAAAAGCTTATGATGATAAGAGGGGTCAATTAGTGGATGATTTTCTTTTTCTCTTTCGTTGTTATGTGTATATACACAATTTCATTAAGAGATTTTTTTCTCTCACTGTCACTCAATCAAGTGTTTAATAATAAGCTAATTGTTCTATATCTAGTATTTTACCTAGATAATTATTTTAAACATTATTCTTAAACGTTATTATGACAAAAAACCATATACACATGATGAGTAAGAAGTAGGTTCTCTTATGTTGAAAAGAAAATCGTGTATTGTTGATTTCATGTTATTGTTGGCTTCTTCTTTTTTTTTGTATCCCCTTTTTGGGTTCTCTTTCTTTTTCATGTGTGAGCTTCAATTTATTAAGAAATCTTATCTCGCAATTCCAGACAATCAATTAAGTATTTAATAACAGGTTGACCTAGTCTGGAATTGACATGCACTATGATCCAGCAGTTGAGACAAGCACCCATTGAGAATCAAGAGGTTGAACTTCTTTTTACTTTGGCTTATTGCCTTTCATGTTTAAATGAACAAATGCATGCCTAAGGTAGTGGGGGGTATCAATCAACTGTGAAATATCATGCTGGTGAGTTGACCAGTCAAAATCAATGTGTATCAAGAAAAACGCGGATAAATTTCAATTACCATAGAAAAACAATCGATTTTAGTCAACTATCATTGTGAAATGGTCGGAAGCAAGAGGAAAAGTAAATTACGTAGTCCCCATGTCATGCTAGTCATGAGAATCGTATTTCTTGATTTGGAGTCTGGAAAAATTTGATTCAATTTTGAGCTTCCGCAATTGATTAATTCCCCAAATACCACTGTTTACTACTATCTCTACGAAAACCTTAAAACGAAGTTGTATTTTGTAACTAGTGTTAGAGGCATATAAAACTCAAAGACGAATTAACATACACTGCTCGCTGAAACTTCTAGATTAATTAAGCTGTTCAAAAGTACGTAGAATGCCATTTTCTTCACCCTTCGATTGGTATTAAGCTATTCAAAGATCCAATGCTTGCTTTTAGTTAGACGCTACTTTGCAAATGGTGCAATAAGGTTTGCTTTATTGAGTTTTATGATAAACTGCAGCTGGAGGCAAAATTTAGAAGGGTTTGATGCGTCTAACTCTTAAATGTTATTAGAGTAAATCTTATATACACTAACAATGTATACGTTATCACGGTTGAATGCACGACAAATTTGCAAAATTTGGGTCTCAAATTCAAATTCGAATTATGTGTTATGCATCCAATGGTGAAAGTGTGTACGCTATTAGTGTATAGAGGATTAATCTATAGTATTTTATACATATATAAAAAGATGTTGGGTTTTGCATTTCATGTATGACAGCCTCCTTGGGGGTGTATTTATCAAATTTAGATATAGTACTAGTCATAATTTTAGTGCATATGATACAAGTGTTTTATGCAATGGGTAGCAATGAAATTACCTTTTTGTTTAGTGTTATAACAGCATTCTTCACAAGTTGAGCTATGACAAGAGCATTGGCTGTTTTTTTTTAAAAAAAAAAAATTTTGAACTTCAATTGCAATTAATTAACCTAATTATAACCTGAACAACTGTTACCACCATACCTCGGGAGGTATCAACTCTGCCTGAATTTTTGCTGCAAATCATGCTCGTGAAAAAATGTGGACAGATTTTGGAGGTTCTTTAATAGAGGTCACTCCATTAGCAGATCAGGAGCCTTTTGAGTTGAAAGTTTGTCTAGTTCCATCAAGTTGTGTAGTTTATGTACGCGTTTACAATAGAGGCTTGTTTGGCAGACAAGTTTTTTGTCAAGTTTGCCTGTTACAAGTTTTTAAAAAACTTTAGCTACAGTAATCTTAAAAAATTTCTTAAAGTTTTTAAACTATACATTTTTAAATATTAAAAAAAAACGCACTTCAAAAATTTTTTAAAAAACTTCTATAGTAAATTATAGTAAAATTTTATACAAACATCCAAAAAACTCACTTGTCAAATGGGGCTAGAAGTTTAAAATAGTTAGACATAATTGGATAGATTCATTTGGAGAGACCCCTGATCCTCCATTAACAACTTGTGATATTAATTGTATCAACAAGAGAAATAGGAAACTACAAAAGGATAAATAGTAGCATGCTGTGCCCGAAATCTGCATGAGCACATCATCTTGAGTCGAAAGGTTCATGTGGTTTATGAGATTCCACGTTACTATCTTAGCAGCTTCTTTCAATGAATACCTATCAACAATTTTCTAAACATCTAAGATATTCAGAGGTTAGACTTATCTTTTTAGCCCAACAGGTTTAATCATCAATGCTACAGCAAACCGCTAACCCGTTACAATTTACTATGCAAATGATGTTTGTTAGCCCTTGCATTCAGATACTTTCTCAATTTGATTTTACTTCTTCAGAAAATTAACACCTCATGCTTCTTCTACCACAACCTATTCTCTTTCTGTAAAAAAATATGAGTCATGGAACTCAAAATAGAAGTAAGAAGTTCATACGTACTGTGTTTATTGTGATGAGGAGTTTAACTCCGAATCGGGCTTCCAATTTTTTGTTGATAATGACGTTAATATGTAGAATAAGCCTACATTTGTTGATAATAATCTTGTGGCATCATTAAACTGAAATGATTTATTTGCAGGTAATTAGCGAAGGTACTTCGTTTGGAAACACAATTGTGTAGAAGAATCCTCACTTTGATTTCAAGTAAATTAAGTTCTCGTTCAAAAGAAGGGCACAATATATTCTCAAGTAAATTCTCAAATCGGAAAAGTAAAACGAGATATAATTCTAGCCCAGAAGAAAAAGAAAAAAAGAGAAAGACCCAGTGATATAATTAATCAGATCAAAAGGTGAGTGGGGAAGAAGAAAGAGTTCAAGTAAAGATAAACCTTTATTTCAGAGACTAACAAAAGCCACAAAGAATTCTATTCACTAGTCAATGCATGGATCATCATCTTTTAACTTCTTCTATTCCTATTTCAACTCTAGATTTTAGGGGCGACTAATGTATAAGAATGGCCTTGATCATCAACTCTGCTGCCTTCAATAGTCCTCGTATACAACTGGTGAATATGGCCCTCCGGCATTGGCATCCATTTTCTCATCGGTTGAATCCGTTGCCGCGTTATTTTGTGGAGGGTTGGTTTGAATCGGGGGCCTGCTTGGTCCTTCTTGCGATGTAGAAGCGCATCTTCTGAAAAAACGTAAGACCGCGGAGCAGACGCAAATTAAATTAGTTTGAAGATCAGTAGAAATTTTCAAGAATGCAACACAATCCATCATTGGATATATGCAAAATGGCGATTTTTATTCTTTTGATCATCTTCTGTACGATTGAACTGGAGGTACTTTTATTCTTCTCATTTAATGCACAACTGAAAACTTATAGCCATGGAGAAAATAGCATAAGTCAAGATGTTAAGAGCAACGAGCAGAAACAATAAGATCGAACTTACATAACAATACTTGGAATCCTATGAGGGTCGGAGCTGAGAACTTTAAGCAAGTTCTTTGGCACGAAGCTACCAATAGAAGCCATTTGTAATAGTCAGATACAAAACTTTGCCTGATTCTTTCAAAAAGGAAAAAAAAAAAAAAAACAGCTAAAAGATGCTCTTCTTTTCTGACTAGAGACTAGAGAGCAAGATCTGTTGTCTTTGACAAAAGTAGCACCACTATAAGTCAATAAAATCTTCGAATTATGTTCTGAGGGAAATGAGAGCAATCGGGACGACCATTTATAGAGAGTTCCCTGCACTTGATTCTGATAAGGACGTATGAGAAGAAGCATCATGGACGGAGACCACTTTCTTGTTTTTGTTTTCATGTTTTTGGAGTAAATATACAGCATGTTATCAATTCCAATCCCTTATGGCAGTAAAAAATATGGACCGCTTCTCAGTAAATGCAGTCAACGGTTGGCCGTGATCCACTGTTGATTCCGGCGTCATGTTTCAGTTATGTTTGAAAAGCATATGGAAGAGAAGCGGGATTGGAACTTTGACTGCTTGGTGGATGAATTTTTTTTTTCCTTCTCTTTGGCTTTCTTCTTTTTTTTTTTGGTTGCCCGCCCGGTATCCGAAGCGTTGCCCCGACTAATCCGAATCCGACCCGCATCGCGCACCTGGTTATGATGGGTGAATCTCCCAACAGAAGTGTCTGTGTACACTAGGACTCGAACACGAGACCTACTTAAGCGAATCCGAGCCGCTTACCATTCAGACCAACCTCTATTGGTTGCTTCAATTAAGCCCAGGTTAATTGTTGAATATCCAATAGTACTACATTCAAACAGTAATATTAGACGTGATTGTTGACCTATCTATTTCTGGAAAAAGAATAGCACGTTCAGATGAGCCGTGCTGAATAGATGATGCAAAGGTGTGATGCATATTATAGGTATGGATCACAACTCAATCATGTTGGAATTGTCCAAATTCGCACGTTAATAAGTGAATTTGAGTATATAATGAAATTTGAATAGGTTTAGAAGTGGGTGATTCAATTAAATCCATCTAATTAATGAATAATCGATTGACTCGCATTGCTTAATTATATCTATTTAAAAATAACTGCACACCTAAAATCAATTTTTGGTGTATGATAAGTAGGTATAATTGAATTTTTTACCGATTCAGTAACAATAAAATGTCATTATTTTTTTTTTTGTCAAATAACATTTGAAAAGAACAGAAAAAAA